AAAGCATTTGCTGGTGATGACTGTATTATAAATATGCCTTTGGATTGGCCGATCATCCTACAGTAAAAACTGTTTTTTCCTTTTCTGATCGCACTGATCTGATCCTGATGTGCGCGTGCGGTACAGGGCCGCGCGCTTACCTTTGAGTATGGGGTAGATCAGGGCGCAGAGAAACCCGACCGCGGCCACTGCTCCGGCCGAGCCCAGCACCGACAGCGCGACCACGGGCCATGGTTTGGGGCCGTTCCGCCTCGCGCTCCTGGCGGGCTCCTGTCCGAACATGTAACGCTGCTCACTCAAATGAACAAATGAAAATGTCTGCAAATCAAACTTTTCACAGCCGCGCTCCGCAGAACGAAGCTTTCGTATACACAGAGGGACAGTTTGTGAACATACAGACCGATGACATGCTCACAGTGACGACCCGACTGCTTTTAACTTGTACCAGGAACTGCTGATGACATGTTTGAACTTTTCGCTTCCGCACACAAAATTGTCCCCGAGGGGGTTCCGTTGGTGTAGTTTAAACTGCCACAGTAAAATATGTGGAAACAAGCTTAGCTAGGCCACTCACAGTCTTTTAAATATATATTTTTTAATGTATGTTTCTTTTAAATTCAGTTATGGTAAAGTATCAGGCTGTTTACCGTGTTTCACTCTTCACAGGTGTTGCAAAGATTTTGTGCCTCAAAATCCGTGTGAGCCTCTCCTTAGCTGGGATAGGCCCCAGCCCACCGGCGAACCTGAACTGGATAAGCGGAAGAGAATGGATGGAAATTTGTATGATTGATTGGCTGATATTAATCTGCACCAATGACTGTAGAAAGCTCCGACAGTCATTGATCTGCACTGATTGTATGTTGATACGTGTTGGCCTGTTTTATCTGCTGAATTGCTCCAACAATCAACATTTTAATATTTTTATTCTAAACCGAATGCTTTCTCTTTTATTTAGCAAAGTTCCCTCAAACAAATGTCCCATAGATTATAAAACTCCTCATGCATCATAAGCAGTATATTTTGAAGTAGCCGCACAGTTGTATCCGTGAGTCCACTCTATTAGTCTACTTTAGTCTCTAGTCTACTCTATTATAATATTAATAATAGTAATGATTGGATGCTCTTGTTTCAAGTATGCTTTCAAAAATAAAAAAAGAAGTGTTGAATTAGTTGTCTTTAAATAAAGTACTTAATTAAAACAGTAATTTTTTTTAATTAATTAAAAAAATCATAAAAAGGTGTACTTTGAGCTATCTCAGCTTTAGCCCTCTTCTGTCTCCTCCCACAATTTTGTTTTCTCACGCGCTCTGAATAAATGATTTAATTGGCTGAGCGGCATCGCAGGGATTAGTTACAATTCACGCCATTGGTCTGTGTGTAAAATAGAATATTATCATTAGAATAATAGATGTAGATAGACACAATAGAATCAGCTTGTCATACTTTGGTAAAAGGCCTGAGTCCGCCTGTGGCGACTCAGACCTTTTACTAAAACACGGCGGGGACGCTTTCTTTTTTTTTTAGCGCTTTTATTTTGACAGGTATAGTAAACAAACACCGAATTGATAGCTTTATTTTGAAAACAACAAACCGGAAGAGGTGCTGACGCAGGGTTGTTGCTGACAACGGTCTACGTTGACTTCAGACGCCACAAAGTGAATCGGTTGTAACAGAGCAGCTGCATTATTACGGTAAAACAAATTTTATGATGATGTGTTTGGTAGAAACTGAACATGTTAGAAGCTCGTGGGGCTCACGCGCTGTGCTGCTCGTGCGCTGTTAGTCGGGTGTTGTGGGGCTAATTTGTTGTGATGAGGTCATTTGTTAACACTGCGGTGTTCTGGTTTAGCCTAGCTAAGCGTCATTTCAGTTACTGAAGCCTCACAGCGTATGAAAGGCTGTTTATGAAATGTGCATCCGTGTGCCGAATATGGTGAATGTAGCCGAGCCAGCTTGCTAGGCTAATGCGTTTCGCTGTGTGATAATGACCAGCGAGTGTGGCTGCGTTAGCCTGTTCAGCTTTTCTGACTCCGCAGCTACTGACACTGAAACGTTTCTCCTGCTGAGCTGTTTGGTAAAAGTAAAAGGTAAAAGGTCAGCTGCTCACTTGTTGCTTTTATCACTGGACTACCAGTGAAGGTGTCTGCTCAGCCCGCCAAACTCCTTTCGGGTTTAATGCTCTTCTCTCCTTCCCCCGGAATCCTTCGTAGCATTTCCCCAAAGATGACGTCTCACTTCAAAAATGTGCATATATCACACATTATCATGTTATGGTAGTGCATCAGTGTGTTCATAGCTTGCAGTGATGTCCCTTCCACTTACACACTACACTGTATTTCGTAGTTTATCAGTTATGATTGGTATTTACTGGAAAACTTTACATTAGACATTGCAAATAATGAGACAGCCTCTGGGTGTAGTTTCATACTGACGCAGAGGTTACAGAATCAGGCTGATGGTGTCTGTGAGCTACACCCTCTGCAGTAAACTGCCCTGGTGGCAGGCGGAGGTTCTGAATGAACAAAATGCGAAACTATTCTGTTTAAAATAGAGGTGATTAAAAAATGACGCGTTCTGCTGTCTTGTGACAGGATAAGCCAACAGTCCTTTTATAGTTGTGCCTTTCTTTCCTCCGGTTGAGATAATTATTTGGATTGGATCATCTCTGGGCTTTAGAAATATTAAAAGTAACCTCAGTGCTTTGAACAACCCGGGACACCAGTCACAGCCTGGCTGCGTGCTTCATATCTGAAAAGCATCGTGGTGATGTTCCTTAAACTCTGGAGTGCACTGCTCCTATGCTGGACCTGATCACACTGATTGGTCTGGTACTTGTGTGAATGTGTGCAGTCACATTAACAGACAGACACATACAGTTTTACAACGTTCAGAATTTTTTTAAGTATAGTTGTGGCCTCAGTTATATTATTATTACTAGCTCATGCCTTTGTCACAGCAACTCTACGCCTGTGATATTTACCAAACCTGAATGTAAAAGTGACCCTTGCCTGAATTGCACAGTGTCATCATTTTGACTGATTCAAGCAGCCAGCAGTGTTAGGTGATCATGACTGAAAAGGCCTCTGAAGTATAAACATCTTAAAATACATTTTATAAATAAATGTACCCCACCAAGACGACTGGGGCTAAAGCTGCGTTGAAATGAAAGCTGTAGCAGTGATTTCAAACATCAGTGAGTTGCATGCAGGAAGATGAAATGAGCTGTTCCTTACATATATGTCATGTCAGAAACAGCGGTTGCTTTTTTGTGGGCTTCTTGGTTCCCATTGTTCAGCTTCTTCTTATTTTTGTGGCGTCCCTCAGGTAAAAAAACATGAAATGAACTTCCCCAGCTAGAGGTGATTGGAGTTTAAGCTCAGTGTCAGTCTCTGGTCGGCATTAGAAACTGTGTTGTGGTGCAGAAATGTTACTGCAGGTGCGTGTGTGGGAGAAATGGAGGGAGTGAGTGTTGCTGCTGCTTGCATGTACATGCCAGTATTATGTTTTTTCTTTTGCATATTTGAAGGTGCATGCTGCTGGTAGGGATGAACCCTTTGGTAGTATTTAGACTACTGAAGCTGAAATGCCATAAAAGCATAAAATAAGTAGAGCAGTGTTTCACACGTGGAAATGCTCAGTAATAATATTGTGTTACTCCATGGCTTTTTTTCTGCACTAGAGCTTTGCTAGGAATCATTTCCTGAGCCCCTGGAGCATGCTTTGACTAAACTGCCCTCCTCAGCTGCTCTGCAGTGCTGAGAGAAGAGGAATAGAGGGGGCAGGGTACTGTGCTCGCTGGGTGCTTCTGTTAGATGCTCATATGTACACAAAGTGGCTTTTTCTGTGTGTGTGTATATATATATATATATATATATGTGTGTGTGTGCACGCGCATGCACAGATGTGGGTAGTGCAACACGATCCACAAACAATGCCTCATGCATACATGGTGTTGTGGCTGGATACACTGCATGGGTAAAGATACACAAGATTCAGCGTTGCCATCATTTGTAACATATGTAACAGAGATCCAAGGTTACAGAGTAACCGTACGTTCTATAGCTAGTAGGTCTTACTAATGACCTACTAATTCTTTCTCAGTTGTGTTGCAGCAGTGGCATATTTAAAAGTTTCAGGACACCAGCCCTCTAGGACTTGAGTTTGACACCCATGCCCTATCAGATCCAATCCTGAATTAACCTTGTTGACTATCTGGTTAAAAAAAAACAAGCAAATGCAAAGAAACCTACTTTAAACTGAGCACAGAGGTGGATACCCTTATACCCTGCTCACAAACCGTAGTCCTCCCAGTCCTCCCAGTTGTCTCCCAGTGAAGCTCTGCATGCTTTGCGTTCTGGTTCCTCCACCATCAGAGTGGTGATCCTGAAGCTTTAGCATTACATCTTTTCAGTGCTTCTCAGCTTAAAAAACCAAAAAGCCAAATAGGCTCAATAAATTAGGAAATAGCAACAGATCATCCAGTGCAGACAATAGGACTGAACGCCACGAAAGCAAACATTTTGACTCCAGAGCTGTCAGACCTGAAGTGCCTGGAGCGAGCTTACCTGTTTCAGTATGAATGTAGCGTGTGAAACTTTGTCATAGAAATAAACTCACAGTCAGGTTGTGTGCCCCTGACCCACTGCTGTGACCTCCACTGGTCTGCTCAGTTTAGGAACTGAACGAAGAGAAAGGAAATGAGGAACCTGTTACTGTTCACATCATCATAAACGTTGACCAACATCCTCCCCGACAGCTGCGTGGTTACTGACTGACATGCAGATAGTGTGCAAACAGTTGCTTTTCACTCAGTTTGTCCGTGTGTGTATTTGGTTGCAGCAATTGGCCGACTGTGTCTGCTGGTTAGTAGCGATATTTATTTAAAGCTACATGCTGTCAGCTAGCATAACATCACAGCTGCGTGTGTGTACGTGTGTGGGCATGAGAGTAAGAGTGGAGTAAATAGGTGGGGGATGGTAGATAAGAAGGAAGCATGTAGAAAATATGGGCAGTTAATAAGTGAGGAGAGGAGTGATGCAGTCATTAAACTGAGGAAGTGGCTCGTGCTTTTATTGTTGGAGCTCCATTTGAAAGTCGTCAGACTAAAGAGAAGTTCCACAGGGAGTGATGATGAATCCTTTCTTCAGATTTATCAGATATAAAGCTTTTTCTGTTTGCTGAAGCTAAAAAACAAAAAAGCAGGACCAAACTGTGGTGGCACTCTGAGACTAATCTGTCTCTCTGCTGCTGCTGCTGCACATCTCAGGCCACTGTTCAGCGTCAGAGTTATTCTTTCATTGCTTTCTTCTTGCTTGAGAAGAAAACTCAGCAAATGATGTTCACACATCCTGTGAGGCTCACTGGTTACTCGGGTTCAGGCCTGAGCTTTTCTGGTTTCTCACCAGTGAAACTGCCTGCTGGGTTAACCCTAGCCACACTAAGAAACTCTCAGAAGAGAATCTTAGCTTCTAGAGTTTTACTTCCTGGTGAAATGAAGGTTAGAAAAAGAAACAAAACAGAATTTTAAAAATCTCAAAAATGTGTCCCTGATACTGTTCTTGTAGACACATCCATAGCTCCGTGTGACTCTGCCGTTTCCTGCAGCACAGAAACAGAAAGCATGCAGCAACTGATGGTAAGTCACCACCTGGAGCATGGCCAAAGCTCCTGGGGGTGAAAAGGTGTCTTCATTTTTCTTGAACTAAAACTACTCAGAGTAACAAAAATCCACTGAGGGCTGGCACACCAGTGACAATAAAATCCAGTGTCACACAGGCTCCCAGTATCACCCACTCTTTCTGTGGTGAGTGGGCTATTTCTCTCATTAACATCTCCTTCAGCTGAAGCTCCAGCTGTGGGAGCTGTCACCGGGAGAGGTTTGTGCATCAGTCAATATGCCAGCGGATGTTTTATTTATATGAATAAAACATCTGGAGCCTACCTCAGTTACCATGGCGAGAGAATCGGGGTACACCCTGGACAGCTCGCCGGCTAAACTCAGAGCACCTCTCGGAAGTAAAAAAGTACCAAAGCTTTACACAAAATGAAATCATATCAGCGCTGCTTTTATCTTTACACTCTGCTTTTATCTTTACACTCTGCCACAGCTATCTGTAAATTCATCTTTGCAGACAAGTTGTTTTTTCACCTTGTATTTATTTATCAAGATGCAAAATCTAAAGTACTTCATTCATTGGACTTGCGTGAGGTGAAACTCACACAGTCGTGAGATCCCGGTGCATTTCTCCTGATATAATGCAGGTGTTGGTGATTTTAGTGTCTTCCTGCACAGGATGCTGTACATTCTTGTCCATCGTCAGCTCAGACGAGTTGATCAAGTTGATGTTGGGCGATTCATGTCAGCACACATTATGTCGTTTTTCTTGTCTTTCATGCATTCGTCATGGTTGTGGTATGTTTCTATAGGGCTGAGTTGTGTTACTCTGCAGTGCAGATCTATAGTAGTCTTTGCTTATGGTTTGTGCAGATCTAATAAGCCAAAGGAAACTGTACGACCACT